AAAATAGATAATTTTAGTATATATTTTTACGTATTTGTACAACCGCTTCTGTAATACGAAATCATTGAAATTAATTAAGATTTAGTAGCTAAACAAATATGAAGTGATTTAAAAAACATTCATTATCGTTTAGATAAATGTAGCTTACAAACGTCCGAAGCATTTTGAAGCAAAAATTATGTTTGTACGTTATATTACATAGTGAAGTCGTGTTATATACACATTATATAATTGTTAAAAGGTAAAAAGCTTGTCATGCTAACATCCTAGAGTTCTAAGTAAATATTGCTCTCAAACCAAACAAATATTTGTAGACGCTACTCAGGGTTCTCGATTCTCTCCGTCCTTCATCGATACTCACTAAAACTAAGATTTTGACTACAGACAACAGACGAGGAATCTTTGGTTACGCTTACCTCAAGTTTGAAACGTCACACTACATAGTCTTAGCGTTAATAGTTTTTTATTCATATAAATATTGGCATATTGAAGTTCTATCTTGGGATATTGAATGGGAAACTGGATTTGTTTTTTATGTAATGTTACGATGCATACTCGTGATAAATATAAGAAACAAAAATAAATCTTGGAATATTTCATAGAAATTTTCGTATAAAATAAAAACAAATAAAGAAACAATAGCGATTCGTCAGGCTACTACATATAAGTTTATTGTCGGTGTGAAAATTTAATATAAACGTTTCCTACATATCTCGTAGTTAACAAACACTCATAAATCATAATAAGCGTTGTTGATTCATAAGTATTTTTGAATTATCACGAAATAAATTTACACGAACAATTTCTATTTTCGCAACCGGAACAAAAACCGAAGGCATTTGTTATAGTTTGGCAGTAGTCTTATTTACGAGGCAGGCAATGTCATTTCTAACATTATCGGCTGTTACGCACGTGATTTTACAAATTAAACTCACCACATACGAACGATTTATAAACGATTCCATTATAGATGTTAATGGATTTAAACCGAATGTCATTTAATTATTTTATTCACGTGTACATGTTATATAACAGTATGCGTATGAACTCTCTATTTTTATTGAACAGATGTTTGTAATGCGTACGGCCTTGCTCTTGACCTTGTGGGTGCCATCAAAAATGTGCGTGTAAAATGTTTATCACGCAGCTCAAACGTTACTGCGTTGAGATAACAGTGTTATAGATAATAACTACTAGTTGTAATGGAAATTATTGTAACTAATGACAGAGAGATAAATTATAATTATGTTACAAATACGAGTTATTGTGGACTTACACAAAAAATGGCGTTTAAACTCGTATTATGCTAAGAAGATTATTATATATTAATAAAATGTGTGGTAAATCGATATTCGATACGATTATTTACAAATATTTTTGTACGATAATACTTTAAACTGTGGGTCTTTAGTCAGATTCTATTTAGCACTACGGAGAAGAATAATAGACTTGTAACTTATAAGCATTTACTTAATAGAATACTATGTGTATGTCTAGTTTAATCACTTTCGGTTCAATCAAAATTATTAACTCCAATGCTTTTTTATACAAGTTCAACAACATGTTGTATCGGAAAATCAATCATTATTAAATTATATTTAGATAACAGAAATATTATGAACGATAATATTCTATGTGAGATTATAATGGACATGATATGATGTTAAGTTTGTATGTCAGGAAATGCCTTCAAATGACGTGTACAAAAAGTTGTTGATTTCTTTAACAGTAGATACGTTTAGAAGATGTTTACAACATCATACTATGTACTTAGTATTTACGGAGTGTTAGCAGTTTTTCATTAATAAATCTTTGCACATTATTGTGTTAACGTAGGTTATTGAATGAGAAACGGAAAACGTTTTGTATATATAGTGTAACGATGAAAACTTGTGCTAAGCTTAATGCCTAAATTCTTTATGCGATAATAAGATCTAAGATTATCGTGAGTATTATTCGGATAACTACGCGTTTTTCTATTATTTTAAAACTACATACTCAGGACGTTTCGGTTACTTTGCAAACGCCGGGAGTATGTATATGACGAGTAGGTATATATCTTAAAAGTTTAATCTGCAAGTAAAGCCGCAGACAATAGCTAGTATTAATGGACATGAATTCCGAAAGGGAACAAACAAACAATAACAACATACAATAAAATAAAACCAATACACTGATTGAAATCGGTTTGAATGTATGTTATAATATTTATTAAGTCAAAAGCAATAATAACATTCTTAAACGTTAAAAATCCGACCTGTCACACTGATAATATTACCAATTCATTCTTGAATCTTGACACTAACAAACTTATTACATGCCTTGAATTATATCTCTGTACCTACTGAAGATATGTAAATAAGACATTGTTGTGGCTAAATTTAAAATTAAACGATGATAATTTTAAAAATAAAACTCGTTTATATTAATTAATGTGATTTTTTTTTCGAGTGACGACAATAACTGTTCCCGACATTATTATCATTAATAATTAAGATAAATTGATTTAAGCATAGATATGTTATTAATCTTGAGACGGAAGATAGCAATAACTTTGAATGAAATCTAGGCCTGGTCATGCGGGCGATAATATCAATTTGTTCAATACTGAATCCTGACACCTTTAAAATGTCCCCTTTCATAATAAATATAATCAGAGTATGTATATATGTATATAACTATTGATGTTGTATTTGAATGTCTCAAACTGAGAATAAATTGATTGAATGTAAGTAGTTCAAATTTTTCGTCATTACACTGATATATTCTATAGAAACGTTTAGCTTTGGAATGTATTTTATATTAAAAAAATGTAGACCTTAAGAATTCAGAATCTGATAAAAGAGGAATAATTTTATATATTGTTTATAAAATATTAGAACTATTTCAATTATCTCAACCATGAAGACACAAGATTTATTGAGTGATTCAAAAATATTTATTTTTAAATAAATTAAGAATAATAACATTATGAAATTTTAAATTATATTATCAAATTCTCTCACTAATACGTCTATATAAAAGCAGAATCGCATTTATGAGGAAAAAAGAAAAATAACGATGTATATTGTAATACATAAATAGTATTCCTTAATTTAAAATTTATTTATTTTATTATGGCTATATACAATCTCTGATTTAATTCAGTTAATGCTATTTACATAGCGAATAATACAAACATAAAGAGGCTGTACTTAAATTTGAAAAGACCAAGTAATTTTCTGTTGAAGTCATTTCACGCGTACTTAGTTCACACAGCCGCTATCAAAGATGTCTATTATGTTTTTAACATCCTTATATAAATGGCAATTTTATTTTATATTTAATGCACTCTTATCTTTCTTAAAAGCTTACTTTTCATATTTATTGTCTACGACGAGAAATTTTATGAGCTACGTATTAGACATTTCATTTTTTATATCCCAAATTCGCTTTCGTCAACATATTTAATATGAAAAATTATTTCAATATAATAATCTTGAATTATTTAAATTTTATTCATTTAAGTTCAAACGTGCACATAATAAAGACGAGAGAAATATAATTGAAATAGAACATAATCACATTTTAATATGGAAGCCATAAACTAAACGTTATTAAACCAAACGCAATTACAAAACGATACAACAAAGGTATGACGTTTGAAATAAAAAGTATAATAGAATTTAAATCATTTTAAATGCGAAGATTATAAACGAAATCATTATCTTATTTCCGTAACAATGACACACCCATTCCACGTTACATTATCAAGACTGAGTCAGTTCCTCTCATCAGTCGTAAGATTGTGAAGCTGCAATTCAAAAGCCCCTCACCGTCATCTATTTTAGTTTGAAGAACCTAAGCTGGAACGTGTATACGAATACTTAAGAGATGGCTGTAGTCCAAGTACGAAATACGAATCAGTACGTTCTATTATAAGCAGAGCAAGGGCGAATCTAACTTAGATTATATACTAGCATATAGTATGAAATAGTTGTTGAATTTGATTATTATCCTAGGATGTACGTGACTAAGTTCGTTGGTAATTCAAAAAGAAGAAATCGATTTTAAAGGCACTAACACGTAAGGATATATACGTATATGACGAAATCGAAGTAGGAGTAATGAAGTGGTCAAAACAATGTAATGTATAACAGAAATTAATTAATGTCATTCTCAGAATATCAGTGTCACGCTTAAACTCAAAATAAATTTAAAAAATAAAGACAAAACTCAGTTGAAACATATCATTGCTGTCAATCAGTTTGTTTATTTTTTTAGCGTAATAAATAAAAATAAATTGTTATTAGTCAAATAAATTGTACTTAAAACATGAAAACAAATCATTTATATTGAAAATGGGAAATATTATGTATATTACATAATATGTTGTTGCAATACAAACAAGGTAAAAATAAAACATAATTCGATGGTTATGCCAATTAACGACATGTGTCGTCTTGAAATATATTGTACACAAAGAAAATATTACATAACACTAAAAACTACTTAATTATCATCAATAGTTAAAATATTGATCAAAAATAGTTGGCATCAGTTTGGATAATATTACTAATTCAAATTTAAATGAAAAAATAAATATTTGATTTAGATTGTCGTAGAATATAATGAAAAAATTTTCAAGTTAGACAAATCTCAGTATAGCTGCAGTGCTGCCATCTATTATGGAAGATAACATTAATTAAAACTTTACAACCGTCTTTCATTGTTAGCTTCTACTTCGAACAATGAGATGGCGCTGTACTTAAAAATTGTAACATATCAACACTATGTATATAGATTATTACTCCTACCATAAGTTTTAAACATTTCACTACATAAGTTTTATATGTAGTATTTCATTCATAGACATAAGCTGATACTATCTGTTGCAAAAATTTAGGAATAAATAACTGGATACTTACAATTATTTGAATACTGAAGTGTTTGGTACGAGAATTAGTAGTTATTAAGAATTTAGGTATATATTTAATTCGTATTGTGTATGGAGTACTCACATGATTTAAATTGTTGCAGGAGTACACCGCTGTCAGCAGCATGATGATAGTCATACAAGGTATGACCGACCAGATCATCGGAGTCATATCCAAGGGCATTTTGAAGACTGCAACAATACATAAATAGATTTATTTATATACACATATATATTAATCTAGTATAATCTATTAATATACCGACAGTATATTTAATTGTTATGATCATAAATTCATGGAATTATGTAAATTGGCAAATGTATAAATATTAAATATAGAATATTGTCTTTTTCATTATTTTTTATAATAAACAATATATTTAAACTTAATAATACTAAAAGTTTTCTAGCAATTTAAAATTTGAAACAAGATATCGCTCTTGGAAATAAAAAAAAAATATTTTTAAAAACAACAATTATATCATAAACTAAATAAATATAAGTACCAATCATTTTTCAAATAGATAAAAAAGTAGTTTTTAAAGATTTGGAGTTCAACAATTTTACTAATAAAATTTTAAAAAGAAGATCAATTGTTTATTTAAATGTTTTATTTAGTCCTTCATAGCCAGGGGTCACCTCTAACTTGACATAGTCCTTTCATTTAGGTTATGTTTACCGGTATCTAAGCAGTTAACCTTGAATGACCTATTGCCAATACATTGATACCTTTTACTATTTCTAATAATATATTACACTTACACACATCTAGGATTTGTTTATTTATTATTATTGATTGAAATCTAAACTTTATAGCTAATATAATTATCTGCTACTTACAACCGAATTCAAAAACCCCGCCACAGCATTAAATCTATTCCAAAACTAATATATCGATAATCACACGAAAAACACAAATTGGTATCATCACATTCACAAATCACAACACTTTGAAAACCCGCAATATTTTTAACAACCGATCCTTATCGTGGACGGAGTACGATAGTACAAAACCGCGAAATCGCATCATGTTTAACCTACAAAATACATTTGAAGGTGATATTTTGTTGATATTATACGGCAAAGTAGAATAATACGCTCCGAAGGTATACGTAGTGCGGTCCGAGTGTTACCTAAATTTTGTCAGGTAATGCGAACTGTTATTGTTTACAACGCCATCTGTTAGAGATGGTCGGAACTACGTTAAACACAAGCTAGGTCGGAAATGCTTTGTTTTCATTGTCACTGGCAACAAGTAGGTCGTAAAATTTACATGAGGGACCATTACACTGCATACATTTCAATTTAATGATAAACTTGACTCTATTATTGATTTTGATGCCTAAATATAGGTGATTTACCAGGAGATAATTTTAAAAACTGGCTTACCCTTCATCACTATAAGTGAATTTCATGTCCAAGCTGTGCTTTGTGAGGAAAGTCATATTGTTCAAAGGAGTTTCTATGTTCGATGGATGAGGTATCGGTCTTCCCACAGCCACGAGGGCCGACTTGGTGATTTTCTTTCCATCTTTATCATCATCAGTTTGATTTTCTTCTGTCAGCATGTGTCCAGTTACATGGATCACCTGGTATTAAAAAAAATATATATATATATACAGTGTAAACTCTATATAACGACACTGAAGGGACCGTGCATTTTTGTGCGTTATAGAGAGTTGCCGTTAAATAGAGGGAAGAAAAATCAGAATTAGAAAAAGACAAAGTTTGTTTCCGACTACTGTTAGTACTTATGTACATAAAAAAGAATGTTATAAAGTCTGTTGTTTTTGTTTGACGTGTTTTGCTGCACCAGTAATGTTATTGTATTTTTTACGTATTTTATTCATATCTTGCGATATTGAGGCATATTGGTGAAGAACGAATTTCTTAGAAAGTTTGGTATGCATGATTACGACAGTGGAGTTTATTGCGGGCTAGGATAACAAAGCGACAAAAAAACGTACACAGCTGCGCATTTTTTACTAATTTTAGCAACTTAAAGGGTACTTTTTATTACTTAATTTTGTCGTTATTGAGAGTGGCTGTGACGCTATATAGAGTGTATGGTTATATGGTAGACAAGCTAAACCAACCAAAATCAAATGATTTCGACGCTTTAGAGAGTTTGTCGTTAAATCGAGTGTCGTTATATGGAGTTTACACTGTATATGAATGTAGCTAATTTAAATGTAATTAAAAATTGTTTATTTTCAATAAACTATGAGCAATAGATGATTTATTATTAATGTTGAAATGCATTTTAAATAGCTATAAATCGTTTTTTTAATATCATATTTGGAAATATCACTATTTGCAATCAAAGCTGTCGTAATGTTTATGATGAATTAATATTTAACATATGCCGATATGAAAACATCTCTCCTTAATATGAATAATTCAAGCTTCTCCGTACACTCGAAATAATCACGTTTTCACATGTTCGCCTGTAGCTTGCGTAAACAAAAATAAATTCTACCAAAACGAATTGCATGAGGCGAAAGGAAACAAAAATATACAAAGAAAATAAAAATATCCTTCAATATTTCTATAAAATAAATTATATTATTGGGAATAATTGAACAATTTAAACCAATTAAATGTTATTATAACAAAATATTCCAGTCGTATGAACCAATTAGTGAACGTCATACATCTATTAATTTATTTTTAAACATGACGACATTAATTTATAAACCACAAGAAGATTTCAGGCTATTTTTATTACACAAATGTTAGTTTCGAGTAAAATATTAACTTAGTACGAATTGTATTGTCAAACTAAATACCGGCAGATGAAAGTTTTTAAATTTCTTTAAGCTGTCTGCATTATTTTAGAGTACTAATAAATCGTAAAATAATGAACGCTGATTTAACTTTTTCTATTTTGCATGCAACTAAAACATGTTTATATATATTTATGTATCTAATGTTTACCTTTTGTAATACAGTTATATTTACAGAAATAATACTTGTTTAATATAACTAAGTCACTTAATACAAGTTATTTCCTCGGCTCCACTCTTATTAAATATTTAATCATATAAAAAGATTTTTTTAATATTTTACAACTTATATGATATTCCTGTTTTGGCCTAGATATTGTATGACGCCACAAATTCTCATATCAAAGATTATTACGAACAAACTGAAAGACGTAAAAATATAAACATAGACGCATCACGTGAATAAATACAGGCTCTTAAGAAAACATAGTTATCAGACGGAGGCATATACATATTAACATGTACGGACAAGTAGCTCGAGGTTTAAAGAACTTACTTATAATTATAACAAGACAAATATACGTAATTTTTATAACTTTCTATTCACTTGAAAGTTAGTAACTTTCGAAAAATACGGACGTAATATTACGTGTGTTTAACGTACGGTATTTAACGGAATCTATAAATATTGGAATGTAAACAGGAAAAAAGTTTTAAGAATTCAGCTTTCTAGAAAAGTTAATCTTCGCCGTTGTGGTACGAAAATAACTGGATGTGTGAAATAGTTTTAGGCTTAAATCTTAATTTATAACAGAAATCTATGGTTTTTTCATTTTTAGAATTTTGTTTTTTGTTTCAAATTTTATGACTATACTAAATGAAATCATTATCGCAAAATTTAACCAAATACAATCCATAAACAAATAGATTTATTTTATTAAATTATATTTTTTTGATCCGTACATTTTCATTTACGTTACATTTTCTATAAGGCGTTGTGTTTAAGGCTTAGGGTTATCGGTACTATTTGTCGAAATAAATTTTTCAAAAAAAGACATCAATACCGACAATTATATACGTGTTTGTAATTTGTTAACGAACCAACCTTGTAAGAAGCAGATTTGAGATGAACGTTCCTCCCTTTACTGGTGAGTGTGCACTTGAGACGCAACAAAAGGTCCCTCTTGCCATCTTTACTTGACCTCAGAGCCTCCCTCACCTCCTCGTGGTCGCAGGGGTGACTGAACTCGAACACACTCTGACCCATAACCTCCATCTGCAAAGTTGGTATATATTATACAGTTGCAATTACAGTTGACCCATTAATATACAGTTGTATCAGTTTTCGTCCTAAGCTTCGTCGTTATTAACTTCCGAACTTGACTCAGACATATACGTATTGAAACAATAGATAAGGGATTTAATTTTCAGTGTCTTCATGTATAATATAGTTCTTACGCCTTGATATCGCCATAGCACTGAATTCTGAGATAATTTATATCCCGTCTTAGTCGAATATATAAACTATATTATTGTAAAATTCGTGTTTCTGTGCCATATTAACTATGCTCGATAAAGGGATATTTAACTCTGAGGTCTATTTCCATACGAACAGCGTTATTAATTATTAAATAAAAATAAAATAAATGTATGTAAATATTATTTTAACAAATGAATTCTCTTTGCATATTATAACATATTATCAGTATAATTGAGAAAATGTAATCGAAATTTATTATTTAATTTACCATAAAATGTTCATCGTCACACTACATACGAAGCGTTAATAATATTCGATTCAGAAATCTTTAAGAAATAGGATAGTTAAAAAGTGGTTTAGTGAATGAGTATTACGGTGTTAAAATAACAAAATTGTTAACATAAAAGAAATCTAGGATATAATAAATAAAACTATTATTTTTTATTTCGGAATGTCTGGACATTTTCATCTCGTCTGCCCGTGTTCACGGTTGCTGCAAAGTAACTGAAACGTCTGGTGTATGTAGTTTAAAATAATAAAAAACGTAGTTAATACGAAATTATTAGATATATTATGTTAGAGTTATTGTAGTCAAAAACCTTTCGTCATGTCTTATATTAAATAACGGTTTCTCTATAACAGGTCTCAATGCAGGTCTAAATATTCAACTAAAATCTTGGACCATAAACTACAAAAAATAATTTTCGTGAACGATCTGGTTTTCCCGTATATCAATACAATTGTTTGACGCAATGAACGCTATTAGAATTCACAGCGTATCGATTGATTTCCCCGATTCGTACATTGAAACCGCATCGCATCGATGTATAATAAATATGTAATTACGGATGCCGTCTATACAATGACATATAGTTAATGGGTTGTATTGATTATTATACAAATTATACTATTAGGGGATATAATATACAAGCTTATGTCATATAAGCTACACAAAAATATTACCACAGTTAGTAACTCAGGTAAAATACAACATTATTATCCGTATTGAACAAGTAGGTATTATACGCATTATGGGCTAGATCAAATTCTCTGATAGAATATGTAGTACATGGCATGTAATACGGAAATTATTTATATTGAAAGTTGTAGAACAAACATGATAGGACCGTAATGTGACCTGAGTATCTAATTGATTATAAGTGTGCCAATAAAAAAAAAGTTCATAGACCTGTGAAACTCCGAGATGCTCAGCAACATTCTCGCTGCAGTAGACGATGTCGCCCTGTTGGGATAGCACCAGAACAAAACCATCCAAGGCTTTCATGTATGAAAGCTCTGATTGGATCTCCTCTAGGCCTTTGGGACTCTGCATTAACGGAACTTCCTTATCTTCTGGCACTGAAAGAAAAAAACGTGATTTTACTATCAGAAATCAGACTATTTTAACATAGATAGACCAAAGATCGTCATACAATAATGGCCAAAATAAATATTGTTTTCATAGAAAATATAGGCGCCAGAATTATTAATCCACATTTATATTTTAGTCTTATATATACATAACTAATGGAATGAAAGTGTGTTGAATATATTTATTCAAGGCACGTTTTGATGGACATTGATTTCATAACGAACGGTGTTGACTTTTAACGAGTTTATTGTTGGTTTAGAAAAAATATATAAACCCTAATTTATTACATAAATAAAATCTATAAAACAAAATTCTGATAATATTTAATATTAAAAATCTACAGAATCATAGGTTTATGAATTATTAAACATTTGCATACGATTCTCATTCGTTATTCGCCTTACGATAATTTCAGAAGGTTAAACCTAAGTGTAAATAAATTTTCATAATAGATATTTTGTTTAAGAAACGAGTAGTAAAAAAATATGCAGATGATTGAAGAAATAGTTATTGATTGCAATAAAAATATTACGTAAGTAATATCTGGTGGATTTCTGTAAATATTTCAAGCTACTTCTAAGTACAATAATTTCGTAATACGTACCTTTAATATAATCAATATGAACAATTCATTACGACATTAAATGAATATAAAATAACAATTGAATTGACAGACAATACTATTACAGTCATGGACTATTTGAATAAAATTAAAATGATTTATAAATAAAAAAATTGAAGTTTTACTGTATTGGTTGATTAAACTGAGCAAACGATGAATTATTTCTCATTTATTATAGCATGCGAAGATATCATTTTAATTAATAACAACATATAATATGAACAACATGTTTGTTAGCGCTGACGATAGAACAAGTATAAAAAAGCTAAACAAGAACTTTTTAATTAGCTGACATCATTATTTTTATTTTTAATAAACATTATATAGATATTTTTTTAAAAGAAACTAGTTTTGCCTAGCGGTTTCAGAAGTGGAATTATTTCTAATATTTCTCCACTTCCAGTTTATTTAACAGTAGTTAAAAAGCCAGAAACTAAATTCATTTAACCTACAGACCACAATCTACATCATCACTTTGCATGGAATCCAAAGACATATTTTGATATATGTCATTATAGTTTTTGAGATTAGATAGATAAAACGGACTTAGTATGCGTATAATGACAGTTTAATACTCACACATAGACACAACGTCACGCACACGTAGATATGATATGGCGAGTCTCATAATGGAAGCCTTATCCAACTGTTCCACGTCTTCCTTCTTAGCTGGTAGTGACGCTGTCAGCTCCGCGAAGATCTGCATCTCCTTTGTTCTTCGACATCGTGCCGCCACTCGAGATTTCTCTTTACGCTTTTCATTGTTCCTGAAATATATAATAATTAACTTAATAAATAAGCCTCAGACATATAAGAACTCTAATTGCTTGTTTTATATCCGATCCAAGCTTATAAGACCCATGTCTAACTACTCCAGTCTGTTAAATCAACATGTTATAAAAAAAAGGATTATGATAGCAGATGTTTATTTAGAAAAAGAGGTTTAAAATTGCTAAATTTTTTTTTATAGGTAAGATATAAATGAAAGAGTCTTTTTAAATGTATATAGGTAAATTAAATCCACATCTATGAGGATTTATATTTAATACTAGTTTTTGCCCGCGACTTCGTCCGCGTTAATTTCGTCATTAGTAATACATGTATAACTGACCGGGCGAACTCTATTCCGTCTTAAATAATCAGGTATTGGTATTTATTATTTTTTTCTATTTCAATTGAACAAAATGATTGACATATTAGTTAGATGTTAAATCTACTGTCAAAAAAACCTTGAGTTTTAGTCAGACTAGCGAATAGTAATTCATTTTTATATATGTATATAGATGTTGCTTGAAGGTATTTAAAGGTATTGTGATTTTGTAAAAAGAATAATAAAATTCTCCTATTTGATCTTCACTAAAAGATACTGTGTGTAAATTACTAAATAAATAAAAATTTTATATAGAAAAATATAAAAATAGAGTAAAATTTAGTACCTCCTTACTTATATTATGTTTAAACCAGTTAAAATGATTTCAGCTTGTAACTGTTAATAATAAATAACTGTTTTCTCACAAAGGAACTTCAATTATGTTATGTTTTTTTCCTTGTATTATTAAATTCTCCTTATAAGCAAAATGAAGTCAATTATCGCATTATCTTTTGGGTTATGGATACTAAGATGCAAAGTAAGGCAAGGTAAAGTTATATACATATAAATAATATACAATTTAAGTATCTATTCCATTTCTATTGCATTTTTAATATATATTTTTTCGATTTATAATAATAATGTAAAAACCGTGTGAGAAGATTAAAAATAATAACCATTGAAGAGGATCTTCAAACAACGTTTATGTTTAATGTGTTATGATTTATATGAAGATTTTATATCCATATATATAATTAAATAAAAAGTCTAACCTTCAGTGAACCACGATCAAGTCTCGGTAAGCTATTTCTATGACGATACGTTTTATCTTTTCAGTTCAAGGCGAGTACGTTTTTATTTTATTATTCCAATTATAATATTCTGTTTTGATTTCATGTTGATGTCTCCACAAAGACGATTTTTGATCTTTATATATGTACATTCTTTCTTATATAGAGATCACGACATTCAATTTAAAGAGTCAGAAATCACATTGTACGTAAAATTGTACGTACGGTTGCATTTGTATCTTTGTGTAGTGATATATTATTTTCTCTTATACTAATATAATTTCATTAAAACTCCCTGGCAACATCAATTTCAATCAATTACCACCATATGGACAATTGATTACACATACAACTTAAAAAAATTACAGATAGCTGCTAATTCCAGCAATTGGTGTATCAACGAACGAATTGAAAAACATTCCGAAATACGCTCGCCCTTGACGAAATCATGTGTAATGGAGTAACGAGCCTATAAAATATAAATAAGTTCGACACAAAATTAAACAAGTGTCTGAATCGAAAATAGGAATAAGGAAAATATACATAAATATATACAATGTTTGATTTATAATAAAATACAAAGTAGACAGTTATGTTTGTGTATAATTTAATGCAGAGTAGTGATATATAATCATGTAATTAAATAATGTTTGAACGTAATAAATAAGTCGAAGTCCATAGCAGCAATACATTTTAAACGCGGTTCAGTCGGAACTTATACTTTAATACCATATTCTATACAATCTATGATGCAATATGAATCATTATCTCTACATAATATAAATGATAAAAATATTGGAGCGGCTGTAATAATTTCAGTAAAACTTCTTGAAACACAAAGCATCATATAGGTAGCTGAAAGCTTTTTCAGAATATACTATATCCCATTATTAATACAAACTACAAAGTAAGCTAAGTTTTAACGTATAAGGTTTTCCAACAATTTATTTTAAATGGAAATTAATACAAGCAATAAAATGAAAATCCATAATTATGAAGTCAGTTCAAATTAGCGGTCGAAGCTGGATGGACGAGCTTGTATACTAATAACTATTTTATGTATGCTCCTTATATTTAATAGTTGCAAAAAATTAATGCATGTACATATAATATAGTGTACACTGCAGACTAGAGAGCAAATAGATCTAGAAGTGTTTTTATGGCGATAACAGTCTCAACAAAAGGAATATAATTTTAAAACATAGTTCCATAAAAAAATAATCTTTAGGACATTTTTAATATGTTTCTCTAGTGTAGACTAGAAACCATTCATAACTTGAATACCATCAGTCAGAAAAATTATTTTCTCTAGCAAATTATACGTTGTACATTAAAACGACATAGTATTTACAAGTAACTAAAGATATTTTTTAAATTATACTATCATAACGTACACATCGAGACAGATTTCTAGAATATTCTAAAGATGTAATGTCTGGGTTTAAATTATCTGAGGTCAATATAATTAACATTAATTTCCTATTAATCTGTGTTGATAGAAACATGTTGTAAATAAATGATAGCAGTGCTTAGAGGAAACCTTGTCTATACTAGTTTTACGATATATTACCTTTTTGTTATGGAACATAATTTTTCTTTGTGGACAATTTCCGGCGCGTCCGGTATACACATGTTTTTTTAACACAAACAATTTAAATTAATAATAATAGTAATATAGCGCACATAAAACAACACTATTTAGTAGCAAGCCATAGAACGTTGTGGCGAACTGTTACAATACATATATTAATTTGTCATTAGAAACTAGACAGTGGATTTATCGTTTGCTCTAAATAGCTATTAACTAATGCGTTAGCAAATTAGTCTAAAATTCACTGATTATGATGTAGTTGTGGCAAGTTGTTCGTTATTTTTTTTTTTCAATTTTATTTAAATAGTCACTAGCTGAAGTCAAAAGTATGAAAAATTAAAAGAAACTGAGAATTTCTAAAGCCTGTTATAATCAAAATGTTGTTTGTCTCTCACACATATAATATGTTCATAGAACACTTGTTACACATTGACGCGTAGTCGTAGGACGTGATGAGAGTAATGAGATCCATTTGCTAATGTTCAGGGTACATCGCTGTTATTGAAGTCTTCAATGTTACAGGTTGTTCTTATACAACTATATATTTGGTTTTAGATTATAGGGAATACGAATTTTAGAGTTAAAACAATCGATACTAATACACATTGTGTTTATGTTAGAAATTATTACATTTTAACGAGATATAACATAAAACGATTAATATGAAATCAATTAAAATTATTTCATCATATAACTAAAAAGATCACATAAGTAAGAAGTTTCGAAAAAAAAAATAATTTAAGAAAATTCATATAAAAAAAAATTAAACTGCACCTAAACTAGTTGAACAATAAGACATTTTTATTAAGTTAATAAAAAAAAACATATAAAATACCTACGAAAAATATATATCACAATTAAAACAAACTAACGGCTTAGAAGATTTCATAATATGTATACCATAATAAAGAAAAAAAACTATTATAGCTACAGGTTATGGGTGGACTAGTTTTGTGACGATAAAAACATTTGGTGGCAGATAAGGATGGATGTATTCGAGCAGTGTGGACTGAGGAAAAACATCGCTCCGATGAAGCTGGTACAACAACAAAAAATATAAACGGGAATTTTAATATGTGATTAAAGAAACCAGTGTTACGCTTTCTTATGTCGATATTTATCAGAACTGATGATGTATTGTGGACTGTGAATTATTATCGTTAAATATAAACCGGTTATGATATTGTTTATTTCGGACATAAATATGAAATTGATTAAAAATTAGTAAATGTTTCAACGAGTCTTGTATTATTGATACGAAACCAGCTCAAAGTTGTTTTACGCCGTTTCTTAACTTTCCTATATACCGTTATGTGGACTTTAATTTTAAATCGTATATTTTTAATAACAACGAATTCTAAGACGTTTTGAAATACATCGAAATGGCATACAACTACCTACAAGATAAATTGATTGTTTGAAAATTAAACTTGATAAATGTATAGTTTCAATCTTAAATGCAATTGAAAGAAAATATTATAATAAAACACCTTATAATAAACCCATTAATATAACATGAAATAGCTTGAACACATGTTTCAAATACTTTTATGATTTATTTATATTATGTTTAAACGACCTTAAACTTATATCTAATTCATGTGATCAAAACAAAAACCAGTTCGGGGCACGTGAAAGGCGTAGGGCCATCGGATAAGTTTAAAATGTTTGATAAGGAAATAACAACACTCTATAAAAAAATAGCTTCACAACCTTTTAGAGAATTTTTGACTTTCTCTTTTCTTGAATTCTCAATTGGTAAATATATTTAACAATAAGAGTACAGATATATGTATAAATGTTAACAAGATATTGATGACTTGGTGTACTTACATACATAATACGTTCTTAACGTCATAATAAACCATTTCATAGCAAATTATAAAATATTCCTGATTAAATTTAGGTCGTGATTGATTGTTGTAATGCTATAAATATAAATAATCAAATATTATTTATTCTCATATATATAATAACATAGCTACTATAAATCTATATAACACTGTAACAATGAAGACATGCCACAATTGGTTGCTATTGCGAATATAATTGCGAGTCCCGTTCAAACAGGGACTAGTGGCAAATTTGTATGTCCGTTCTTTATTGATATAACGACCTCATATAGACGGATGTGGAACATTTTATATCACTAAAAATCATATAGATTTTCAGCTACGCATTATTTTTATTAAAGGTCTTTTAAGTTTTAAGTATAAACTTTAGTCAGAATATAT